TGAGAGAAATTTTTGCATCTGTAGCGATCGGGTTTACAGAAGATGATTTGCAGTTTGGAAAAGATGATAGACAAATTCAATAAACATAAAATTTCTTTTTTTTTTTAATAAAACGTTTTTTTTTACCTAATTATACTAAATTAAAAACATTAGTAAACAAGAGTTTTATATATATATATATATATATATATATATATATATATATATGTATTGGACTTCTTCAGAGGGTTTTTAAAGATAAGGGTTTCCATGACAGAAAAATGTTTAAACCAGCTATAAACACAGGCTTCATGAGATGCAAATTAACTTTATTATAAATCATTCTCTCCAAGGAAAAACAATATATGCATATATCAACTATTTATAAAAAAGCCTCATATTTATAAAAGGAACTCCCATATAAGAACAGCTGTTACTTTGTTAATACAAGCAAAATTTTCAAAATTTAACACTTATGTACACGGCTACTTCTTAATTTTGACTTTTGATTCTGATATAAAATTCCTCACAGGAAACAGAAATATTTTATTATTTTATTTGAATGAAAAAAATTTTCTTCAAATCACTTTAAAATTAAATTTTATTTTAGCCATAAACCTCATAGGTTTCAGCACAGCATCTTAGCTGTTAGCTCATACATTTGATAAATTTGACATCATTATTTGTATTTTTAAATATTTTTATTATGGCCTTTTTAGCTCAATATCAAGCAATGCAGGGAAAATGCTTTAAACAGATGTTCATATGTTGGTTCAGTTGTAAAATAATTTGGCACTGCTTTAAGAAACAGAAAGGAATCAAAGACTGTTGGGTTCAGTGCCAATGATCTGTAGATTAATCCCTAGAAGAGGAAAAAATACAGACTAATTCTTCTAAAGTATTATTTATAACAATGAAGATAGTTTGCTTATACTCTAAGACAATAAAAATAAGAATTAGCTTAAAAATTTATCCAAAAGTTATACCTTGTTTTCTGAAATTCTTAGTTATAATCATGATTCAATGAATTATTTAAAATAACATAGACATTTGATGTAGTTCAAAACCATTGATAAGGCCTTGTACAATCTTTACAACCTCTTTTCCCACAGACGAAACTTCTCATGCCTATCATTATTTTCATGGCAAATGGTGAGACAAGCTTCATTATTTTAGATCCACCAATTCTAGAACATGTCATGCTACTTCCACAGAGTTGAATTACCTTCATTTCTGCTATATTCTAAATGTAAGGTGAAAGTTATACTCAGTTTTTTTTCCAATAGCCTTCCACGTGGATGCTCCCTTGAACATTACCATCTTAATATCTTCAAGTCAAGAGTCAATTGTTATCTCTCCCACCTTATCCTCATCATCTTCACTTCCCAGCACCTCCTCTTTCATCTACATCACACAACATTTATGATATCCATTTTAACAGTAACTCTCTACGTTGAGTAGCTCTCGAGCCTGGTATTAGACAAACTTTAGTTTAAAAAAACATCTTCATGCCTTCTGTCACTATCACAAGCTAATACATTCTTCATGTTTTCAATTATTTTTTGTAATGGATCATTGTAATTATTTCATAAGTTATTTAAACTAATATTTTCATTCTTGGTATTTTTGTCATTGCTATATTTTCTTCATTTTTCCTTGTGTTTGATATCTTGAGAAGAGTCATTGTTATGGCTAGTATCCCCATAATCATTTTATTTTCTAGTATTTAAATCTACTGATATTTATTTTGCTTGCAGTTGATTAGGATATTGTGCTAAATTCAATAGAAACAGAAATATTTCTCCCTCACATGCAAATCAAAAGTTAAACAGAAGCTAATGACTGCTGACTTAAAACTTTCCAAATTAATTCACATAGAGTAAGAAGAGTAAATCTAGTCTTTCTTCTGAGCAGTCAATAAAACCCCCAAAAGATGAGGTGATATATTGATAGAGGACTCACTCCAGTGTAAAGCTAGTGACCATAAAACAGTTATTAAGAACAGCCATATATTCATGAAACTTTCTTAATGTAAGTAATAGGTAATAATTTTATAACAGCCCACTGAGTATTCATAACAATTATATCTCAGAAGAGTAAAATACATCTATAATCTGTGTGTGTTTGGAAGATGGAGACATGCCATTTTTTATAGTAAAAGCTTCATTGAGAAACATTTTGAGATTTAGATGGATGAGGGAGAGAGAGAAAAATTAATTGACTGATGCTTTGGGTGAAATGATTAAAAAATACACTAAGGTCATAGGAGCACCACATGTACTGTAGCTATAGCAGTTGTAGTATGTTTAGGACAAGATAGCCTGATGGAACACATCCTTCTTCAGGCTGATTTTGAATTCAGTGTTTTCCTTCTCCTAAACTGGTTACCACCTTAACACAACAGAGCTTAGTCAACTGGGAGAAGATTTGTGCATAAGTTAATGTAATGAACTTATCTTGAATTTGAACATGACTCACCACTTTTTCTTTCTAAGTTGCTAACCATTAGATAATCCACACATCCACATTGCTAATGTATAGTCATCAGATAAAAGGAAACTTAAAAGTTTGTCAGATCTAATAAAAGACTTAAGATTTTAATAAATAACATGCCTATTAATAAGTAACATCTCATAAAACATTTCATCAAAGACTAATGACACATAATTCAGTGATTATATATAAGCTATTCTAACAGATGATTCACTCAAGTAGTATTGCATTAAGCTAAGCTTAAAATATACCACCTGCCATCAAATAAGAGATTGGCAACCTAGCCTCACATTACCAGAGATATTCTAGCCTCTTCAGGTATTTCTACTTAACGAGTGCTCCACCATTATAGCCTTTTGACAGACTATGTGATACTGAGTAAATATTTTTAGGCACTTACTGTAAAGTAATGTTTAACAATCTTCACTTGCAGATTAATACATGTGTACAAGATTTGATCTTCTTTCATTGCTTGACTATTGTGGCCCATTGTCAGATTAAACTAAGCTTACTGAATTCAAAATCATTTCAATGACTAACACAACTAAAGGAGAAAAAAAAGGATACAAATTTCTTTCATGTTTTCTTAATGAAACAATCTACTGTCCTCAAATGACAAATATATATATATATATTTTAAGACATTTTTATGTTTATACATTCTTTTTATAGATACAAATATTTTAAGTAAATGCTCTGTTTATAATAAACAGTATTAAACAACATTTACCGGCCTGAATGTCCGAGAAATTTTCACAGAAAATATTTGTCCTCCAACATGATTCGAACCTGTATCCTATACGGAACCGTCATTTAGCTTGACGTGCCTTTAACCAATTTGGCCACAGAGGAGCGCTCAGTTAGCAAGGTTGAATTTACTGTATTTGAACTTCAATCTTCCATGAATCTCTCACGTTCATTCATATCTGCTCATGGCGTATCAAATGTAAACAAATGAAGTCACACATTTTGAAATGGACAAAGTCCGACAGTTATTTTAAGACATTTTTATGTTTATACATTTGTTTTATAGATACAAATATTTTAAGTAAATGCTCTGTAAAAAGAATGTATAAACATAAAAATGTCTTAAAATAATTGTGACGTCATGTTTACATTTGATACGCCATGAGCAGATATGAATGTACATGAGAGCTTCATGGAAGATTGAAGTTCAAATACAGTAAATTCGACCTTGCTAACTGAACGCTCTTCTGTGGCCAAATCAGTTAAAGGCATGTCAAGCTAAATGATGGTTCTGAATAGGATACAGGTTTAAATCCTGTTGGAGGACAAATATTTTCTGTGAAAATTTCTCGGACATTCAGGCCAGTAAATGTTGTTTAATACTGTTTATTATAAACAGAGCATTTACTTAAAATATTTGTATCTATAAAAAGAATGTATAAACATAAAAATGTCTTAAAATAATTGTCAGACTTTGTCCATTTCATTATATATATATATATATATATATATATATATATATATATTGCATTCAACAAACCATGCCATAGCATTGATGACGTCAGATGCATGCTTTTAGTATTGTCATTTAACAACCGACAAGAACAATGCAGATCAGAGTTAAAGTATATTTTCAAAATAAAACCACACTTTAATGGATTAAACAGGGATTTGGGTTTACTCCAAGAATATAGTTTTCACAGGGAACCCTCTAACCACCAACAACAACATTCCTTGGAAGAGTGAGTTCCACTTTTTGTTTATTCCTTTTGTTGTTGAAAAAAGACACAGGTGTATATGAAAATTCTGACTTCAAAAGCCTAATATATAATAAATATCATCAATCTTATTCCCAATATTGTTATCATTTTGTTTTTTTATTCCTCAAATTTCATTAACCAGCTTATTAAATTACATATAAGAAGTACACATGGACCATCTTTCATTTTAATTATATATATTTGTTTTCTAGTTTATCAACCCATTGCAGGTTATTTAACGTGAGAAAATATTTTTAGATTGTAAGAATTTTGGGGGGAGATAATAATCATTTAGTGATACAGTCTTACTAATTAACTCATAACTGGGAGGAGTAAAGGTAGATTTATACTTTTCATAAGGCTTTTTGTGTATAAGTGAATATAACAAACCCAACAAGAACTGGAATTCTGCTCTCCAATTAACAATTCCAAGCCATTATTCATTACACCATCCACACATCCAAGCAGTCACCCATCTAGGTATCAACCAGTCTTGATATTGCTTAACTTCAGTGATTGTATGGGAACCTGTGTTTCAGAATGATATAGCTGTAAGAGTTTATATAAGAGTGGACGCTAAAGTTAACATATTCTGAAGATTGCATTCAAGCATGAAACAGACACAAGCTAGTCGGTGTCCAATTTTACATTTACACATATCTCTGATATTGAGAACTTTTTCCCATAAGCATAGCATGCCTTTATACAATATCTTTATCATATGTGTGCGTGTGTGTGCGTGTATTGTTCTTACTCTTGTTTTTTCTTTTGCATCTTAACACTTTTCTTGAATTGTTTCAGGTGATAATTCAACCAAGAATACAACTGCAGGAGATCCAAATGGCACAAAAGGAGCTGATTATATTGTCGAGATGCTGATGGTTGCAGACTCATCAATGTTTGATTAGTGAGTTTCATTTATTTTTTGCATTAGTAATACCTAATGTTATTGCTTAAAACCTGTTGAAAGTGTTACACTGAGTGACCTGTTAATCTAAAATTTAATAAGTAAATGCCAGTTAACAGTAGCTATATTTTGCAGCAAAATTTTGAAAATGTTGTCTCAATAAACACATTTTTGATAGAAAAGGATATTACACTAGAATATGAAACAAATGCACATTGTCTAGAAAATATGTGATTCAAACAATTGAGTTTTTTCTTGAGGGAAACAGATGCTGGTGACTGTTTTATGAAATTCTCAAATAAATTACTTTTTAAATTTTTGCTGATTAGGTCCAATTTAGATAAAAAAAAAATGGAGTTTTTAATTACATTGATGATGAGTTCCTGGCTTTACTTAAATGTATGTGAATACTTAGATATACATGACACTTAAGGAGACCTAACAAAAGCCAAATAATTTTTCCAATAAAATATAATGACAAAACAATTCAAATGAGGATTTTTGTTCAAATAATTTGTGGAATATAAACATTCCTTCATTTCAAAATTTGACATCCTGAATGCTAACTTTGGAGCAATAAAATACAGACAAAACATAGGAATAAAATATTAAAGAGGAGGATATTAGTCAAAATAAAAATAGAACTGAATTAACCTGCTCCAAGTAAACATTTATATATTTTTGAAATTGTAGGTTTAGCATATAAATATACTAACAGGGTGAACTGATTTTGAGACTTTTGGTTAAGAAAAACCTAGGCATTTTCAAAAAAATATGATCTTAAATATATATTTGCATACAAGATTGGCTGAAACAGTTTATGAAGTTTTCTGTATTGTTTATTCGGATAAATAGCATTGTGTGTTTAATATTTTCTTGAAAACAATCTTTGCCAATAATAACATTCACTTTCTTGCTGTCATGATGCACAAGTAAAAATTAATATGAAATAATCAGCAATTACTGTAAATCTCTATCTTAGATTGACTCACACAGATGAGAAGACAGCTGCAAGTTTATGATGAGTCAAGAATTACTAAAATAATTCAGGATTTCAATTAAAAAATATGAAATCATTTATTTTTCTCTTTCAGTTGGGTAAACCAGAGTGAGTCATTGGACCAGAAGGGTAAAACTGAAGAAGCTCGTCGATCATTGGTAGAATATTTCATATTTCTTTTGAATGGAGTAAGTTCATAACTGTTTTATCTTCATTACATGCACTTTTTGGAATTTTTCTTACTTTGTACATCTTTACAAAAAAAAAAAAAAACAGTTATATTTGTATAGGTATGAATGTCTTTCTCTCTCTCTCTATATATATATATATATAGAGATATATAGATGTAAAGAATGTAATGCCTAATACACTTGCTAAAATCTAACCAAATAAAATTCTGGGGAAATCTTTTATATATCAAGCCCAAAATTCTTCAGTATCCACATATGTATGTGTGTGCACACACACACACAATTTCATCTATCTATCTATCTATCTATATATATATATATATATATATATATGTATGTATATTTTATTGAATATATCAGTATCTCTCTGATATACTGAAAATGGACTTAAATAATAATTATAAATTGATATATTCAAAATTCTATAGCCATGTGGATATGAGAATAGGGTCAGTTTTCCTGATTGTCTTGAGTCAGATGGTGAAATCCACATGCTCTCATTCATTGAAAGGAACAAAATTGGCATCACAAGGGCAAATTAACTAAAAAGAAATAAAATAATCCATAGCATAGAGAGGGAAATGAGTACAGTCTGCCCACATAAATTAAAGAGTATGGTTCTAAATTCTTAGAAATTGAATATACCTGGCACCTAAAGAAGGTCAAATGGTCAATGGCTGAAACATTGTGACAATAATAACAAAGTCCACAAATAAATCAATAATGATAATTCCTCATCTCTGAATTTCTGACAGAAATATATACTGTATTTGATAATGTATAAGACCACTCTCCCATTTTCCTAAAAGGAAAATTGTTAAAAATATCTAGTATCTGGTAGTCTAATATTTACACAAATGTTATAGATTACCAGTGTTTGTGCTGAGCTTAAGACTATAATAGTATAATATTAAACTTAAATGGTACAGTTACCTTATATACTATTAAATACAGTAAATAAATTCATATAACTACTATTGCAAAAATGCAATGCCACCAACAAAATCTTTATCTGAGGGCAGGTTATGTTTTCAGGGATGAAATATTATGACCATATTAATCCAAGCTGCTCCAGCAATGTCTTATGAAATTCATGAATTTTTTTTGCTTCTCCATTACTGTGTATGAATGCCAGATACATGCAGATTCAGTCTCTGCATATTCTTAGAGCCTCTTGAAAATATATATATATATATATATATATATATATATATATGTCTATATTTCTGAGATGAGGTATTGTAATTATTTACATTGTTTGAACTGTTGATCTCATCTCTATTGCCCTATTCATGATGCTCAAACTGAACACTTTATTTCATCCAGCTGAGTAGATTGTTCTATACTGAATTAAAAAAATATTAAAAATAAATTAGATGTACTATTAAAAATATTAATATAAATCAAAAAGAACATAATACATCTTAAAATAACTCTAAACATATCAAACTATGATACCATAATCAAATGCATTCTAACTATAAATAGGATGAAAAATTCTAAAAAGTCTCATAAATGCTAATCTATCACCCACTGATCCCACTAAAAAAATAAAATTAATTATATACTATACTAAATTTAATACAACCAACATAGTCATTCGTCACAACTTTTCTTCATCAACTGGTGTTTTACAAAAGACCAACATCATATATCAATTTAAATGTTCTTTAGGAGATTGCATCTCTGACAAAAATGTTAATAATAATTATGTTGATTTTACTACAACAACCATGACAAGAAGGCTTATGTTTCACTTAAACAATCATAGTTCAATCTCAGAACATTTAAAGGAACACTCATGTCCATATTCACAGTTTAGACAGATATTAGTTGAAAATACAACAGTACTCAACCAAGATAATAATATGCAAAAACTAAAAATTCTAGAAGTTCTGTATATAAGAGAAATGCGGCAAAAAATAAATAAAGTCAACTACGTGTATAGTAACAAAGTTCTTAAATGTTTATAGAAGCAAAATTTTTTAAAATACTAAATTATAATTGTTAAAACTGCAAATAAAAAAAATCATTTAAACCCATAAAAATATACTCTGAAAAATCACATAAGTTACCTCCTTTGCAAAACAGGTAAATATTTTGAATTTTACAATGTTCATGCACACATATCCACATTCAACTCCTGAAGATGATTTCAGACAAGATTGAAATTACTTAGAAAAATAAAAATTATTATATATATATATATATATATATATATATATATATGTACACACACATGGTGGAGTAGTGGATAGTGGCTCAGATTGAGGAATTGGAGAGCCAAGTTCAAAATCCTGTTGAATTCATTACATTCATTTACATGCTAATACCCTTGGGAAAGGTATTAATCCTCTTTGTCTCCCTCCAGCTATGGTTAAATAGCAGGACAGATTGGGTTCTATAGCCTTGGATGGCAACTGGTCTAGGAGAAAAACAATTCTGAATTCAAAACCTGCAGAGGTTTGTTTGGGGATCTTGTGGCACGTAGCACACCAAGTCTCTGTATTCGGCCCTTCAAAAAGTGTAGTAGTTAGTTCTGCGCAAAGCCTTCACCCCTATAATCAAATCACATGTGCTGGTGTCTGGCTGTTGGTTCCTAGGAACTAAGCTACTTGACCCTCATACAACGAATATGAGGGGAGAGTCCACCATACACACACACATATATGAGATAGATAGATAGATAGATAGATAGATAGATAGATAGAGAGAAATGACACTGATGATAGCTTAAGGTGTGAAAATAATGTCTCTCATGTTTGTCCTGCAGATCAGTTTACAAAAGTAGTGAATCTCAGTAGTTACTCTGCAACTGTGCAAGGTTAAACTAAATAAATAACTACAAAAGCTGTTAAAGCTTAGAATGATATCACTATATTATAGAGCAGTGAATATCCAACTAGTCTCATAGACCATTACTATTCCTCTATAGTAATGCAATGATTTTAATTCTCACTGGATTGCAACCTTGTGCCAAACAAAACCACGCTTAATAAATGCCTACATGCATATATAAAAGATTGTATGTGTGTGATTTCTTCAAAGCAGGATGGAAACCAAGACTCATCATGTTTTTCAGTATTCATGCTCAATTCACAGATTCTATATTCCAAAACTCTGATTTTTTATATCATTTCACAAAAATTACAAAAAGAACATTACTCATACAATTAAAATGCTATGTGGTATGGATGGAGAGCTACCATCTACCAAATAATTTTAGCACAGATTTCTATTTTGACCATGTTACTGGAAGAGTCCATTACACAGAAATAGGTAAATGCATTAGTAAAACATAGAGATGAGTAATTTGCCCATCTCAATATAGTAGAATCTTCTGATGACAGAAAAGTGTTACACACACAAAATTATCTCTATTGTTGTGCAGTGATCAATGAAGAGATTGTGTTCTTCTGACAAGCGGATGCAATCACACACACGCACACATATTCAAGCATGTTTGGTTGAATAATCTAGACATATTATGTCTATTTATTTTTATTTTAGTCCTCTCAAGTTCATGGATCAATTTTTTGTCTCGGTACAACAATCCATCTCTTCCTTCATTAAAAATTAGATCTTAACATATTATGGAAACTACTTTTGACTTGTACCACTGAGGCTCTCTTCCATACCCATCAAAATAATATATACATAAAATGCAATCTTGTTTTCAAGAGTTCAGTTCTGGGGGCCAACATTTAGTAATTTCTACATGGCTAACCTTGAAAATAAGATATTTAATAGTACTAAAAAACCCTCCATCTACTTAAGATATGTAGATATTCTCAGCTTAGTTAAAAAATTAGATGAAATATATGAACTACAAAAAAACTTCCAAAAAACTCTGTCTTTAAGTTCACATACAAACTTAACAATAACAATAAAATCCCTTTTCTTGATGTATTGATAGACACTAATAATAATACATTTACTACTGCCCCATATAAAAAAATAACAACTAGCATAAACACATGCACTCTGAACTATAAAAGTGAATGTCCTAATTATTACAAAATTGCTATTATACAAAATTTATTAAACTTTTCAAAAGCTAATTCTTCAATGAAAAAGATTTTCTACACTGAATTAAAAAACATTAAACAAATCCTCATTATTAATGACTTTCTTAATTACATTGTTGAACAAATTAGATGAGCTATTAGAAATATTAACATAAATCAAAAAGAACATAATATATTCTTAAATAACCCTAAACATATCAATCTACTATACCACAATCAAATACTTTCTACCTACAAACAAGATGAAAAAATCCTAAAAACTCATGAGTACTAATATCCCACATTGATCCTAGTAAAAACTAATTATATACTACACTAAATTTTATACAGCCCACTTAATCACCCTCAATAACTCTTCTCTCTCAACTAATGTTTTGCAAAAGACCAACATTGTATATCAATTTAAATGTAGGAGATTGTACCCCTAGCAAAAATAAAAATATATATGTTGGTTTTACAACCACAATTTTGTCAAGGAGACTCACATTTCATATGAATGATTATAGTTCAATCTCACAAGATTTGAAGGAACATTCCTGTTCGCATTCATAATTTAGAGTAATATTAATCAGCAATAAAACTATACTCCACAACAAAAATAAACAACAAAAACTTCAAAATCTGAAAGTCCTTTATATAAAAAATTATGGCCAAAAATAAATAAAATCAATTATGAGCATAGCAACAAAGTTTGAAAATGTCTGCAACAGCAAGGTTTTAAAATATCTAAATTGTAATTGTTAAAACTACAATTAAACAATATTTTAAAACACATAATTACAATTTTTAATAAAAATTCACCCGTTACATAGTGGTAAATTTTTTTAAAAAATGTGCACACGTATTTATAACTTACATTAATTCTTTGTCTTAGCAATTCATTCCTGCAGATGCTCTTGGATGAGATTGAAAGTACTTGTGAAAATAAAATGTATAAGAATAATTACAGCATTTTTCTTACTCAGTTTCGTACCAACACTAAGAAATTGATTTGTGAATTTGAGAGGATTAAAATAAAAATTAATAGCATAATATGTCTAGATTATGCAACCAAACATGCTTAAATGAAGATATGCTGCCTAAATATACATATAATATATATATATATATATATATATATATATATATATATATATATGTATATATTTGAGAAGCAATCTCTCTTTTATACAAATTTCACAATTATTTTATACACAATTATTAAATTTCATGACCCGGCAGCCAACAAGTAGATAATAAACTTAAGAGCAGTTCCTTGTCAGCTATTTTTAATATATAAATAAAAATGTATAATAAACTTGTATAAAAGAGGGATTGTTGCCGAAATACAAAATTATATGTTGGTACATCAATAAGCAGATCACCTAAAAATGAAAAACATTTTTATACTACAAATATTATATAATGGTATATACAATATATAATCTTCTTCCTTGTCAATTTACTAATTCAATGTAACGATTTTTTTTATTTCAGCAGATCTATTCTATGGCTTTCTTCATATGTCCTACTTATATAAAAAGAAATGGCCTCTCTTTGGTAGTAAAAAGAAAATGTACTAACAAGTTGAATATTTAAACATTAACAATAACACTTGGAAAATAAGTTATACTATTTTCAACACTGCAAGAAGCCCAGCTTTTTCTAAACCTATTTCATGTGGAGGTGCTTTCAATTTCTTATTTGTGAAACAAATATCTCTATATTGGGCAATAACACCCCTCAAAATTATAGACCCTATTAATCATATAGATTGAACATTACACAGTGAAACTTTCAACTCAAAATACAACTAATAAATACATGCCAGGCTGTGGACTTATTGATTCACCCTAATAAGTAATTTTAAATTAATACATAGGTTCACCTATCGCCCAGTTAACACTCCTTCCCCATCTTTTGAACAAGAGTAAAGATTAATTTTGTGTTCCCTTTTTAGGATTGGGTTTCCAGTTCCTTCTAAAATCATTTCATTCTTTTTCACTACCCATTAACCCTTTGTGTGTGTGGCATTATTATCTTGCTTTGGGTGAAACGATTAAAAACAAAATAGTAACAATACTCCACAGTATTATACAGTATGTTACTTGCATTAGGACAGTTGTTGGAGAGAATAAAATTAGAAGTTAGGGTGGTTCTGTCTATCAACAGAGGTAAAGGTAAGCATTGTTCGAGGCATTTTGTTATGCATACCCATATCTTAGAACTAAATCATTAGATTGTTTTATTCTTTTTATTTACTGTAAAATTTAAATTGTCACTTAGAATATGACTCAAGGTTTGTGCCCATTATCTGAACAAATTAATTATAAAAATGTTCAAAATTCAGTGGTAAGAAGATTAAGTTAAAAAAGATTCTTAGCCCAAAAATGTGATAAAGAATATATTTGTTTTGTTTTTTCTTTTCATTGTCATGTTCTTTTCTACATTCACCACAGTGTATCATTTTTTATTTAAGGAATAGTCATTCAAAAGAATGAAATAAGAAAGTATGGTGGTCTCTACTATCAATTGAAATAGTTACTACTTTAATGTCAGCTGAAATATGTTAATTTCAAAGATAATTCATACAACCATGATACCAAAAGATCTACCACTGATGGCAAATGCTCTAACCATACTTCTATCATTACTTTTTCTTTTTCTTTTTAAAAAAAAAATGAAAAAATTGGTGTTTCTTCACTAGAATGTGATGAATTATAGAATTAAATATTTGCTGTATTTTTAATTTCATATTCTAAAAATCTTACAAACACTTATGTACATTGTAATAATTAAATCTATTGCTTTTTTTTCAGGTGGATATAAAATACAATCAGTTGTCAACACTTGCAGATTATAACATTGCTTTAACTTTGGCTGGAATTGTTATTGCAGAGGTAAGACCTTGAACAAAAAAATATTAAAGAAAAAAAGAGTCATAATAATGAAACAAACTAAATGGCTAAAAGAAACAATGTTGCTATTCAAGGATCCATTTGGACAACCATTAGCATTATATATTTCAGCTAATGTAACTCAATTTGGAATATGATAGATATAACAAAAAACTATTGAATAAAAAAAAAATCAAGTTTGAAAAATCCTAAGAGACAATGTTATTTAAAGTATTCACAATACAGCTTACTCATGGCAAAATTAAAGAAAAATTTGGATTAGGGGAAAATAAATATTTTGAACACATTTTAAAACTTATATAAGCTATAAAAAACAACACATAAAAGAAGCAAAGAGGCACTTTATTTTTTGTAAAGTAAAACAAAGATTTCTGTTATAAATTAAAAAAAAATTGTTTAACTTTCTAGAATTCTTATAATTTCTTTCTGCTTATCACATGACAATGCCATAATTGTTTGGAATAAAGAGATTTGTTAAAACCTTATACACACCCATGTAACCCATATTTATACAATCATAAACAAAATGGGAATATATAAATGTCAAATATATTATTAAAATATCAAGAGTGCTTGTCACAGATCATTAGTTTGCAAACATATCTTGAAGGTCATTGCTTACGAGTTCAATTTTTACTAGAGGCTCTACTATTATGTCCTTGATTCAGACTAAACTCAGTCAAGTAAATTTCAATCTTCAGAAAAGCACTCTTTCAAGGGTTCTTTTCTAGTTGATAAAGCCAATAGTGGTTAATTGATCTACAATCCATTATGAACAAAGCACTTCATCTTTGATTTCTTCAAATCACTGAATCCAATGAGTATGTCTCCTAATGCTAACATTAGGATGGGTTTTAGACCTAAAAATTTCTTCCAAATATAAAAAAAATATGCACAAGGAAAAACAGTGGAGGAGAAATAAAAAAGACAAATTAAGATATCATAATTTCCGCCACAAATACCAGATCTTTGTTCAACTGAAAGATCTTATTTGAGTATCAGACACATTCAATATATGAAATTCCCTCTGATGAATGAATTGCCAAACTTGATTGGTTTGAATTAAGAGTTATGAGAGTTGATAGCCAAGGATAACAAATGAAATAGTTGCCAGTCACTGAAAACCCAGTCATTTCTTGGAGCTGATTTATTGTGGATGGAAATCAGATTGTGGGTAATCAGCAAATAGGTTTATTGTCCTTTCTCTTTCTTCTTTATGCAAATCAATAAATATCTACCAATTTTGATTATGCACAAACACACTTTTCTTGAGTGTATGTGCGTATCTATTTGAAAATGTAAGTATGATGTGATTCTGAAAGGCTCTCAATCATTGACAAAATCTGCTCAAATAAATAAACATCAGAATTTTCTTGGGAAGGTTTCTTGGTCAGGCTGAGAAGTTTTCAGTATGAGTGTGTGTGCGTGTATTTTATAACATATGACAGTGTGTGTGTTTCATAATGGATGAAAGAGTGAGTGTGTATATTTTATAATGGATATGTGTGTGTGTGTTTTATAATGGATGTGAGTGTGTGTATGTGTGTTTTATAACAGATCTGATTGCATGTATGTGTGTGTTTTATAATGGGTGAGTATGTGTGTGTGTGTGTGTGTGTGTGTGTGTGTGTGCATCTGTATTTGAAGAAATTAGTACACATTAATAAATATTGTCAAATGATTGTATGTTTGCATATACATGTAAATATGTTTGGCTATAAATACACTGAGGTATATGCATATCTGTGTGTATTACTCTCTTAAATATATATATTAATGGTAATATTAACCATTTTTGTATGAGGAAACATTCAGTATTCATTGACTGAGCAATCAGTGTTGCTTTTGGATGAAATTTAAAAAAAAAAAACCTTTCTCTTAAAATAATTTTTCAGGAAAATAGATTTCTCAAGTCCAGTAGCTGTTATTGGTCTTTCCAGTTTTGATGGGGGCTTGTTGATTTACCAATGGAAATGGAAATGACTATTTATTTTGTATTTAAATACAAAATTTTGGCACACGGTCAAAGGGGAGATGGGGAAAGGTTGGTACTCAGTAACTATCCTAGTCCTAGTTAATCACAATCACGGCCCATTCACTCAATACAATATGCTCAATCACCACAAAAATTTTTCCATCACCTCCTACTCCTACATGTACCACAATACCACATATTCACAAGGGACCTACAAAACACACTGTTGTATCCTTAAAGAAGGTTACAGACAGACAAAGGTGGTACTCGAGTGAAAGGAACATCAACATGGGTGTAGATGAAAAAAAGAGAGGTTTATTGTAAAAGAGAATACATTACTGAAAGACAGGGAATCGGTTAGCAAGCTAGTAATTCTTGAAGCAAGTCCACCAGGTATATCCTGTACTTACTATATATATTTACTGATATAGTTCACATATGTGAAAGGGAGTGTGGGACATTCCATTACAACACAATCCATGCTGTAAAAATTTATAATGTATTTTTCCTTTTTTTTTCTACAAAAATATATAAAAATTTATATAATAATGAAAATGATGAGGGTAGAGAAAAACCCAAATACAAAAGTAAAGAATGAACCAAAAACAAACAAAAATAAAACAGGTGTTACTAGGACCCATCCAATCCTTAAAATAAAGAGAGTGGCCACTGTATTTTGCCATTCAACAGAATCAAGCAGCACACTCACTAATGGAGTGAGGAAGGAAAAATTAAACAGTGGAGTGGAAAAAAAAGAAGGTCTGACACACACATGAGATGTAAAAAAGGGGACAAAAACAAACTGGAGAGGTTGGGAATATTGACATGGCTCATAACAAAAGAGTGTGTCAGTAACAAGCTGGAAATAACACTAATTCACATTAACTAAGAAGATACAAAACAGTCTAACTTAACCAGAGGAGGGTTCACAGGAAACCTACCATTGTGCTCTAGGGGACTTAAGAGAAAATCAAGGCTAGCCTCGTTCATGTGAACCAGGCTCATCACATACCAACCTTTCACTGAAATCTGTCAATATCAAACACTTTCTATCAGATCTGATCTTCATCCTGAGTTGATGCCCAAATAATCCAACCAGATCCTGATCAGAATAACACTCATATCACAAAATTCCCTCCATTTGCAACTTCCATACCACCATTCTTGCTATGGTGAGCAACATGAGAAATACCATCCGTTTCACCCTGGAGAACAGAGGCGACACACTGTCACAGGTGTACATGAGATCAATAGACACAAGCTGTTCAGGAGCAATTTGAGCCGTTAACTCACTGACATAGTCCCAGAAAGGCCACACTTGAGGACAATGGTAGAAGGCGTGCAAAGCTGTTTCTTCTAAACCAAGGTCACACAAATCCATCCAGACCAATCTGAAAGCTACATCATTGAGAAATAGCATGTTATTAATCAATCACCAGGTAAGCAAAAACTCTGGGTTGCTGAGGTAGTTTGCCACTGGCGGCCAAGACCAGAAAGAGTGTAACTCTGATGCTGACAAGCTGAGCCGGCCACAAAGGCAGTCCATCACAACCCCCTCCACTAAATCATAATACAGTAGCCTACGAGGCTGTGAAAGGTCACTGGACTGAAGAAGAGCTCAACACTCTCACAGGAATTTTGATTGATTCCGAGGCTTACAATGACACTTAGCCTCAGAAATGGAGAGAGTGATGGTAATGCTAGGGAAGGTGTCCTTAATACAATCTTCCATTAATGCGTGGCATAGGAACACCAACCTTGTAGCATACCAATGGAATAACAAGCGCGGCATTCCCAGCCCCTCATAACACAGACATTGGACAACAGTCTCTCTGCAGACCAGATGCTTGTGACTGCCACCCCCCCAGAAGAGGGAGGCCAACAAGCGATTGAGTACTTTCTTTCTGTTCTTGCAGAAAGGAAGTACAGCCAATTAATAAAGGATAATCAGAAAGACATAAGTGGCACACACCTCCACCTTGTCCTTCACAGACAGCCACCATTGAAGCCAAGTCTGAACCATCGCTTTGACCTTTGACTGTACTTCTGACCAATTTTTTTTCAGCTAGAGACTGGGCCTGAGCCACACTACAAGAATGCAGATTGGTTTGTCTGTCCAATGAAAGGGCCCTGCAGGCATGCCCCCATCCAGGCACCTAACCGCAAGCCGGATGTCTTGTCACAATTAATTTTGGCCCCAGTCATCTTCTTGTACTACTTAAGTGTCTTCTGTACTACCTCAATGTTGCTACGGCACAACATAAAAATAGACAAGTCATCGGCATCCACATTTGACCTCCAGGGATGGCAATGTCACATAGGGACGGACTGCACACCCTGTCCCTTAGCAAGCGAAGGAGGGGTGCCAATGCCAAAGTGTAAAGCGGACAACCCTGATGAACTGACCTAGACGGTACAAAAGTGCTCGACTGCTTCCTGTTTTCCTGTACCACAGCACTGGGGGAGTGATATAGGAGGCTGATCCACATGTAGTAGTTGGGTTCAAATCCGGCGGCCTGCAGGACAGCTACCAGCTACCAATGATCAGCCCTATTGAATGCCTTGGACTGATCTAAATTGATCAGCACAGCTTCTACACCCTCTATGATCATATGGACCAGATGCAGGTTGCTATGAAATGTTTGTGCCCTCACAGCATGTCTGCTCAGGTCCCAACAAGCTTGCAACAACTGACAAATGCTCTGTCAGGATCCTGAACAAATTCTTTAACTCTGTATTTAGCAGAGTTATGGGCCTATAATAATCTAATTCCTGCCCAACACCCTTGACCATTTTTAACAGCATGATCACACTCCTGGAGATCTGATCGGGGATGGACCCATGCCAGAACCAGTTGTTGAACACCACCATCAAAATTGGGACAAAGATATGCGATAGCGTCAAGTACAATTCATAGTGCTGACCATCAATTCCTGGAGACTTGCCACTGTCAACCATCTTCAATGCCAAGTGAACTTTGCCCTCTGTCTCTCACCCTTGCAGCTAG